TGTTTTTTCCACTTTATGCAATTTCCACCCAAGTTGAGGGAGGGCTTGTGTAGAACCTGTCAGCAGAGATGTAATAGGCTGAACCGTATGCTTGCAAAACTTGTGCCAAATGAATCACTACTCAAGATATAAATGGCAAATCAGGATGAATACAACTTTCTGTTGTTGTCTTGTCATAATAGGGAATGTGAGAAAACACATAACCATGTTTTAAATCACATACACAAAAACACAACCAAAAATAAAAATGTGTCGGAAGTCTTCCGACAGAGTAGAACAGGGAAATCATTATGTCAGAGAGGTCCCACGTAATATTGGGAAGGATTTTAAGAGAATCTTTTCCCCCTTTCCCCTGCCTTGTCATTTGTGTCTTCCACTTTCACCCCAATCTCTCTGTAGTCTAACCTAACTTGAAATCGCACAAGAAAAGGAATCTGGGGTAGCCCGTTCCAGCTGAGCTGAGCTGACATGGTGCAAAGTCATTTCATGTTCATTTCATGTGTATTAATGTAAATGTCTATGATAATGAGATTAAGTAATATTTAGAAAGAAATCAATAGACTTTATAGATTATAGATGCTATTTTTCTTTTTTACAATGTCCTATTTTTAGACTATGTTGTTATTTCTTTTTCTTTTTCTTTTTTTTTTTTTTTGAAACAGTGTGTCACTTTGTCATCCCTTGGTAAAATGCTGGGGCATCATAGCTCACAGCAACCTCAAACTCATGGGCTCAAGGGATTCTCTTTTGAGTAGATGGGACTACAGGTGCCTGCCACAACCCCTGGCTATTTTTAGAGACAAGGTCTCACTCTTGCTCAGGCAATCCACCCACCTCGGCCTTCCAAGTATGAGGATTATAGGTGTGAGCCACTGTGCCTCGGCCCACTTTTTTTTTTTTTAAATCAGAATAAAATGTTCGAAATGATTTCAACATATGAATCAATAAAAAAACTAGATGACAGCAGTTCACAAAGATATTAAAAGAAATGAGAGCTAACAAATGCCTGTAAGAACAAAAAGAAATCAAAATATAATAATGGACGGTGAAAAATCTGGATAAATATCAACAATTGTGACGTAGAACTGATATTCTAATATACTCATAAATGAACAATATATGACTAGCTCAGTGAGAAAGATAGACATGGGAGAGAATAGAAAACGTACCAAAGATAGACAAATAAGCATGTGTGAATTAGGCTCTTAACACATAAAAGAATTAAAGCAAGAATTTTTTTGATCAATCAAGTTATCAACTTTGTAAAAGGGAATAGTTCAGGCTGAGGAGGATTTAAAGAAATGAACATACTTTCAATCATTGCTGGTAATTTGCTATAATTATTTAAAGGATATTCATAGGAAAGTATATATTGCCAGATTTAAGACAGTTGTATATAGCTGACAAAATCTCTTCTACTGATCTCCTTTCAGAAAATTTTCAGGATTTGAGACATTTGCTTGGCTTATCAGGGAAAATTAATTTCTTTTTCAGCTTTTCTGAGTACTGTAGAAGAAAGGAAATCTTTAGCATAACGTGACCCGAGGTGTGTTTTTAGCTACAGCACCCTGGATATTGATATAATCAATGATCTGGAAGGAACTTTTCACACTTCTTAATCCAATTAACTCTTTTTTAAAGTGGCAAATTTAGACAGAACTCCCTACATCTTTAAAGCATGGTAAAAAGAAAGATTCAAGATCAGACCCAGAGTATGAGAGTAGTTGTGTTATGTCAGACATTTCAAAACCTCTCTGTTATTATAGAGGGCAGTAATATGCCTTCTTATCATTTCATAGAATCATATGATAAGCCAACGCTATCAAATGTGAATACAGTAAAAAACTGTAAATTAACAACAGTACAACAGTGACACCACAGAGACGCCCATGCCAATACACAGTTTTCTTCATAACGCTATTTTAGATCATCATGTGAAGTAAAATTAATTAGACAAGAACAAAACCCACATATGTTCCTCTCTGATGTGTATCATAGTAGGCAGAGTTATTCCAGCAAGATAATTTTATTATTTTTTTCTATGTTTTGTGTTGAGGTGAGGGCATTTGTAGTTGAAAAATTACATGCTTTCATGACAAACATAATTTTAGCTGCAAAAATGGAGTTCAACTTTGAACAGTCTGCACTGATAATATTCGTACATCCTTCCATGACAGAGAAATTCAATATCATGCTGCCTTCCAGCCGATAACCTGAGTGCCAATCTTGTCTCGGCTCCTTACAAACAGGCGCTAGCTAGTTGTTGGGAAGCAAATTCGGGGCTGGCAATCAGACCTTCTTTCTATTAAGTTCCTGTTGAGCTGCTGCACAGACAAATGACTTCACTCATCAGAGCAAACACACTCCAGCAGGATAGATTTTAGGAATTGTTTTGCTTGGCATTGATGGGTAACCCACAAACTCCAATAGACCATACGTTGTTGTTGTTTTAACAACAGTAAAGGAAAAGAATTTTGTGAGCGATGTGATAGCTGATGAGTCACTACATATTCTATGTAGGCTGTAACCAAACAGGAAATATCCCGACTTCAGGGTCTGTGATCTTTTAATCCAGTTTCTTGTGACAAATACTTAATTTTCTGCTTGCCATTGGTTAATGCCTTAATCAGAAATCTCTGTCAAAAAAAAAAATCAATGACTAAGTATCTCCTGTTATTAGCTATGACATATAACCTCAAAACAAAGAACAACAACAACAAACAAACAACAAACAAAAAAAACCCTGGGACAAATAAAATGAGATTTTTTTTCTTTCATGTATCCAGCCTGACTGTTTTCTCATGCTGATTATTTGCTGAGTTGCACCTGCTCCCCAATTATAGCTTAATCATGTCCTTTGGAGTTCACAGCACTCATTAGCATTCTCCACTCTGCCCCTGAACTTTGATGTCAAAACAAAGCCACATCCCTCATACCTGGAGGTCCAGCAAATGTCTAAGTAGGCTCAGAAAGGGATCTAAATATCAAAGGCAAAACAGGAGACTGACCAAATCCCTGGTTTATTTTACTTGAAGTCAAAAGATTTCCTTTAATTTTTTGGCTTTCATGGATTATCCACTGCTAGGGGATGCTATTTTCAGAAGAAGATTAATCTTGTACATTGCCTACAATCCTGTTCAAGAATCTGGCTGGCAGAATGAAAACAGCAAGGAGTGGAACAAGGGTGCCTCAAGCCCTTTGGAGGAAAGTCTATAGCAATTAAGCCGGTGGGAAATCCAATTTGAGTTATGGTATTTTACACAGTAAGAAAAATGCAGAATGAACCTGGAATCTTGCTGACTTTTGTGCCTTTATTGGCCTTTAATTTTGCTAAGGTTTTAGAATGTTAACGATGACGCCTAGCTTTGCTCTTTTGAGCTAGAGAGTACTGATGAACATACGTACTCTAGACACAAGGCTGTCATCATAGAAGAAAAAAAACACAAGTAAAATAAGATGTTCACTTACAAAAGTGTTTTGCTTATATGTCCAATTTTCCCAAGCTATGAACCTGGTGTATGAAAGTATGATCCATGAAATCATTTGAGAGAAGATGCTGACCCAGAGGACTGATAGCGTTAGTCAATATTAATACACTACACACTAGAAACCTGATAGCATTAGTTAATGTTAATACAACTACACAACTAACCACCCTAATGATAAGCTCCTAGGTTGTCCTCTCCGTCAGGGAATGAATCACGACATACCTTATTGCACTTAAGCACTGCTTGTCTATTTTTTCATGACTGACATTTTTCTCTACTTTCAGATATAGGCTTATTAAGTCAGGAAATTTAGAAAAAGAGTAAAGCAAAAATAACGTCACCACCTAGGAAAAACACTGCAACCAATCTAGTACATATCATTTAATTCCTTCATATCTCCATATGTTTCATTGATATGGTAAGGACCTACCTATTGTATCCAAAATCATATGCCGTTATTACTTTCAATTTTTGTCTTAATATATTATTTTAACAATATTTAACTATTCTATGAGGATGTTTCTGGAGTTACTTTATATTATATCAAATAGCTGAGGAGCTATTTATATTGTGTAGGTTGAACTAATTATTTCACATAGGATGTCATTTTCACCAAATTTTCAGTATAATGAACATTAAAATGTGCTAAGAAAAAATGCCCTGTAAGAGAATATTAGATATACTAATATTTAAAAAAACTTATGTAGCGAATTACCCTCCAGGATTTTATAATATACAGTGATAAGGGTAATATTTCTTTGCTTTGAAAGAATATTGGATAGTATTTCTGTGTTATAGGAGACATGTAAATTAGCTTCTCTGTGCCTTAGTTCTATTATTCATAAAATAAGGAAAATAACTATACTTGTTGGTATTGGGTCTTTGATGGCATTGAGAGCATGTTTGTATGAAAAACAAATGGCTTGGATGTTACTTTAATTTTAGAATTAATATACAAACTTTCTAAATGCCAACTTCTCATTAAGCTTTATGTTTAACCTCTAAATTTTATTATTCTACTTACAGATCTAAGATATTTTAACATTTTAAAATTACCTCTGAATAAGGTTTGGTCTCATTCATATATATAATTAGTGCCAAACATTTTAAATTTAAATGTATGCCATTTGGTTTTATTTTAAATCATGTAATCACCTGACTTAATACTTACAGATGCTTAAATAATTATGAAAAACTACAATAAATTTATAAATGTGCTAAAACATGTCATAAGAAACATGTGCATAAAATTAGTAAAATTTAAAATTGAACTTAGTACATTTAAAATTAAAGTAAAAAATCTAGATAGAATAACAAACATACTAAATTATAATTGTGAATCTATACAATTAAATTTAGGGGCCTAATTCTCTTAAATTAACTATTTGAACATAATTTTTCTAATATACATAGATTTCTTTCCTCCAGGATAATAAGACATTGTTCATTTTCTTAACTATCTCTACCCTTCATTCTAAACTTTGTTGATTTACAATTTGCTGATCATCATGCCTACTTTGGCAGCACATATACTAAAACTGGAACAATACAGAGAAGATTAGCACAGCCCCTGTGCAAGGATGACATGAAAATTTGTAAAATGTTCCATATTAAAAAAAAAAGAAAAAAAAAAAAAAACCATGGGCTCAGTGCCTATAGCTTAGGGAGTAGGGCACCAGTCACATACACTGAAGCTTGAGGGTTTGAGCCTGGGCTGGGCTTGCTAAAACAACAATGATAACTGCAACCAAAAAATAGCCAGGCATTGTGACAGGTGCCTGTAATCCCAGCTACTTGGGAGGCTGAGGCAAGACAATTGCTTCTTAAGCCCAAGAGTTTGAGGTTGCTGTGAGTTGTGACACCACAGCACTCTACTAAGGATGACATAGTGAGACTCTGTCTCAAAAAAAAATAACAACAACAACAACAAAAACATGGCTCAGCACCCGTAGCTCAGTGAGTAGGGCACTGGCCACATACACTGAGGCTGGTGGGTTTGAGCTCGGCCCAGGCCTGCTAAACAACAATGACAACTGTCACCAAAAAACAGCTGGGCATTGTGTTGACTCTTTTGTAATCTATAATTATATGAATTTTACAATACATGGATAGAATCATGTAACCCCACCATAATCACGATGTAGAATATTTTCATCACTAATCCCTCAAAATCCCCTTATGCTGACATTTTAAGTCATACATTGCCCCAAATTTAACCCCTGGAAACCACCAATCTGTTATTTGCTATATAGGTTTGCTTGTTCTAGAATATAATTTAATGGAACTATCATATAGAAGTATGTAATTTATTTATTTATTTATTTATTTGATACAGAGTCTTACTACGTCACCCTCAATAGAGTGCTGTGGTGTTACAGATCACAGCAACCTCCAACTCTAGGGCTTAAATGATTCTCGTGCCTCAGCCTCCCAAGTAGCTGGGAGTACAGGTGCCCGCCAAAACGCCCCACTATTTTTTGTTGCAGTTGTTGTTGTTTAGTGATTTAGGTTAGGCAGGTTCGAACTGGCCTACCTTGGTACATGTGGCCAGTGCCCTAACCCACTGAGCTATGCGTGCAGAGTCATATAGAAGTATATAATTTTTGACACTAGTTATTTCCTTAGCATAATGCTGTTGAGTTTCGTTCAATTTGTTGTGTTTGTCCACAGTTCTTTCCTTTTCATTGTTGAGTGATATTCCACTGCATTGACCTAACATGGTTTGTTTATTCCTTCACACTTTGAAGAACATTTGAGTTGTTTCCATTTTGGGATAATTATGAATAAATCCACTATACATACATTTGAGTGTAGCTTTTGTGTGAACATAGGTGTTTATTTAATGTAAATAACCAAGACAGAAATACTCCATCATGAAATATAGGAAATATAGGTTTAACATTAATAGAAATCTTCAATTCTTCATTGAAATCATCAAATTTTAAAGGGAAGTTTTTCTTATAAATTGATCAATCTAAGCCCTTTTAATAACTACTATGTTCTTAAATTCTAAGACCTAAAAAAATGAAAACCCACATTCTTGATATTAACGCATCTCATTACCTAATTTTTAGGTCTAATTAGAGTTAGGATCATCAATCCAGGAAGCTTTGTCATGTTATGGATTAATCTATTTATTGCTTCTTGTAACTCCGATTTATATTCTTAATTTTTCTGTACATTAGGGTCATTACCACCATAGATATTTTAAAGATGACTTATTAGAATCTGTCTACCACCAAACTATAGCCACCTCTTTGGTCATACATTTTTAAATGGCCATTTCCATATGAGAATATGATGAATGAATATAATTACTACCCTTAGAGCAAAGTCTAGCAAATAACAGAAGTTCAAACCATATTTGCTCTTATGATTAGCCAGGATTTTATTTTTATATTTTCTGATTTAAGTGTATCCCTGACTTCCATGAATTAATAATCTCTTTCTACAAGATAAAGTAATGCGATTTTATAGACCAAAATGTAGCAGGTCCTAGAGTCCACTATCAATTAACTAAAAGAGAAGTTTGGCGTCTAAGAAAGGGCATTCAGTTACTTGCTCAATTTCTCAAGAGCTTGCCTCACATACACCCACCAAAATACCTTTTATTATTCTTTTCCAATTCCTATTCCTACTAATGCACTTGGAATAAAGCTATTGCACTGATCATTGGCCAATGCCAAGACTGTAATGTGTGTTCCCAACATTGTCCTTGGCTTTCCTCAAATCTCCTGATCCTTGGAAGGTTGCCAGTGGCAGGGCAAAGTGGTCCCCTCCCCACTATGTCAATTATACCTCAAAGATGCTTTGCCTTGTCCATAGGCTCAAAGTCCCACTAAAACAACTCTGTCTGCTTGGAGTCCTTTCTCTCGTGTGGATAATAAGAAAAAAACCGTGATGAGATTGTGATGCTTTAAACACCATCCTTCTCAGTTGTTTCCTTGTCCTCTCCCTCTCAGGCCAATTTACACCCTATTTGTCTAATTAAAAGCAAACAAACCAAAAATAATGATGAGAACGTACAATGTATTGTAATGTCTATAAACACATTTTAGAAAGTAAATTGACCCACCTTTAGAGTAATTAAGATGAAACTTTTTAAAAGATTGATAGCCTTACATATTTCTTCTCTTGGAAAAGCTTACCAATTTCTTCACAATTTGTATCTGAATACTCTTTTAAATGTACTATTTAATAAAATTATTTGATTAGTGTTTATATAATCAGCAAGCAAGCCCTTGAAGTCAGTGAAAGAAGCATAGACTATTGAGTAAACGATGGCAGCACTTACTGTAATGAATTTGAAAATGTATTGTTGGATTAGATTTCTATCTAACAGTATATTTCAGAATAGTTCGCAACTGAGGGCAAATACATTAATCTAAAACAAAATAACTTCAAAATTATCTGTAATTATTTTTATTTCAGATTGATGATTGCTTTTCTATTAATAAAAGTGAAACCGGCATACAAAGCCTGGTGTATGTAAACTTTGTGTACATAAAAATTTACAAAGAAGACAATTGTCAAAAAAATATAGGTTGAAAATAAACAAAATTTAACAGCAAGAAAGCTTATGTGATGTATAGATAAGGTGTCTGATCAATCTTCTAACTCTGTTTCATCATTTTAGTTCTTTCTATTCTACTAGTAAAATTTTAATAAGATATATTGTGGAATTAAAGATTTGGGAATTTAAGCCTTATACACCCTTCTTTCTCTTCAAATTTGCTTTGCTCTTCCTAATTTTAAATCTTTTTGGTATATTTTAGAAAGAAAACTCTGTCAGCTTCACAGCATCTTTGTGATTTTAATAGTTGATGCTACATTAGAGTTTCATTTCAGAGTTTCAATTAGGTTATTTCAACAGGATCCACTGAAACGTCAGTTGATTATTATATAAACCTTTGTTATGTTATCTTTAAGGAATTTAGCACCGGCATTTTTTTCTAGGTTAATGTTGTCTGAACATATAAAGCAGAAGAAACCCAAACATATCTCATCTTAGTCTTCAGTGATTCTGTTATCATACTACATATTGTTTATAATTCCTGTAGAGACTTTTTAAAATTAATTTCTACATTCATGTCTTCCTTCCTGCTGATACAATTTGGACAGTAAATTTTTTTCTAAAACATTATACTAGGTGTCTATGCTTATATATCTGTCACGACCCCTAACGCCCTGTCCCCATCGTGTACGAAGAAAACAGGCTTGACACAGATTAGAAGTACAACCTTGCAAGAGGCAGGCTAACTGTAACTGCAGGGTAACCCCAAGCAACCTCCACAGTAGCAATTTACTAGACGGCACATGACAGGTGAGGGGAGTATTAGACAATAACTATGTGCTTAAGAGTTGCCATGGGCTGAGCTCTCTCTGCGACTCCAGAAGATGCTTAAGCTTTAACACCTGTGGATGAATTGCCAGAGGGTCCACCCCGAAGCTGCAAATCATCTCACTCAGAGCAGAGGCATACTAGCTCTCGGAGTCCTCTACGTTCTCCCCCTTCTTGTGTATTCTAAGACATTTCTGGATAGGAAAGGGAGAAAGTTTGTTGTTGATAATTTCAGCCATTCTTCTCGCCAAGGAGCTTTCCTTCCTGCTAAGCAAAGAAACAAGAGGGCACATGAGTTAACAAAATCACACTAGCGACATTAACCTGGGTTAAGAAAGAATTACTCTAGCCGGACTAGGCATAGGAGAAGGCATGCCCCCTTTGTACTAATCACCACCCAGTTACATGCCTCGGGCTGACTTATAGGGTCAATGATGCTTCCATAGGAAGTATTAACCAACACCTAAGTTATTTGTCCATAGCACCCATGTCAAAATGAATGGACAGCAACAAGCATAGAATGTTAGGTGGGGAAAGGGCTGTACCAATGAACTCAGACCCTTTACAAGCCGAAGTCTGGGGGAGCAGTATGATTTTAAGACGGGAATGGATGGAAGATAAAGATCAGGTGCCCAAATGAAACAGATACAAGTCCAACAAGTAAAATTCTCTCACCTTTGCCAACATCAGTAACAAAAATGCTGTTATTCAAGGTCTTTGTTGTTCATGATGTCAATAAAGCCTGGAGGATGAGTTCTGAGCTTACCTGGGGCTTCCTATTCAGCCCAGAGTAATGAAACCCTGTATCAATCTTTCCTCTCTGAATAGAAACTCTAACTGCTGATTAGGGAAAAGGGACACTGACCTCTCCTAACTGCTTCCTGCTGATGATGGATGGTGATATGGGGGATGCAGTTAGAGGTCCTTCAAAGGAGGTTGATCCAGGGTTTTTTTTTTATTAGAAATTGCCCAGGCCCATGAAATTAGGGTCCTTACTACATCAATAGAAAAAGTTAGTCAAGGCAGATTTGTTAACGTTCTGGAAAGGTTTCCTGCTCACGTAGAGCCTTAATCCAGCAGGCTAGTAGCCATTGGTTCTCTTGTTGTTCTGTAATGATATGAACAAATCCACAACCTCAATGTAGCACATAACCAGGTTTCCATCCAGACATACATGGCCTACCTTTCCACAATTATGGTATTTAACATGGTACGGATTAAACCCTTCCTTTAAAGCAGCAGAAAGATTAGCCTTGTAGAATTCCATTCCTGCA